TCCACTCAGGAGAGCTGTTGAGGAAGGAGAGAAGAACGATAAGATAGAGGAGCTGGAGCTACAAATTATAGCTTATTGATCATTCTGTTAGTAATAAAAAATAGCTAATGTTTATTTCCTGCTACTCACAGGGCAGGCATCATTTGGAGCCTTTCAGGTATTAACTGAAATGCTAATGCTGTTCGTCTTACAGATGGCCCCCGGTGATCCTCACTTCCTGATATTCTTACCCTAGTTTAGTCCCATCCCGCAGCGAATCAGGGCTGACCTGTGTGACCAGGAAATTATATGATGGAAGTGACAGCCTGTGAAGGAACTACAGCTTCCTCTTTGGTGTCCTGGATCACTATGTGGAAAGGAGCTGAGGCCTCTGGCCATTGGCTGCATGAGTGCGCCATCTTGGAAATGGGTCCTCCAGCTCCACTCAGGTCTCCCAATTTTGCAGTGCCAGTCCACATGTGACTGCACCCTCAGGAGAGATCTTGATCCAGAATTGCCCAGTGGAACACCCCTGAATTCCTGTCCTGATTCATGGAAACTGTGAGAGATAATAAATGGTTGTTTCACACCACTAAGTTTTGGGGTAATTTGTTATGCAGCAATAAATAACTAATACTCATTGAAGCATCACAACAACTCTATGAAGTAGACACTTTAATCGCCCAAAGCTTACAGCTAGAAGGAGGAGGAGGAAGGATTTTTCTCAGGCACACCCCTCTCCCCAGAAAACTTGCCTTCTAGGTGGACACCTAATGATGCTTCTGTAGTGGGAGATTTACTGGGGGATGTTGAGCAGACGAGGCTCCCCAAATTGGCCAGTCCTCAGTGCCAGTTTATTAAAAATAAAGACTCCCAGGACCTTACCCCAACTATTTTGGCTCAGTAGGGTCTAGAATGAGACCTTCAGTTGATTTAACACCTGCATGTTTCAGGACTCACTAATATTCCCAGAACTCCTCCGCAGACAACTATGGCTCTCCCATTGAGCTAGTTAGGGGACTCTAGATTATACAGCAGTGACCAGAAACTTCAGTGGCTTAATTCCCAGAGGTTCATTTCTCCCTCCCACCTCAATCTGATACCAGTTGGTTGGTCCTCCCCCATCTTGAGCTATGCCACCTGGAACACGTGGCTTCCTAGATCACTGCTGTAAGGCAAGAGAAAGAAAGGAGTGATCATGGGACATGTTTCAAAGGGCCAAGCCTGGAGGTAACTTATACCAAGCCCACCCACACTCATTGGCCAGAACTGCAGGGAGGCTGGGAAATGTGAAGAGCAAATGACTATCTGGTGGACCACGGAACCCCCTGCCACACCCACTGTTCAGCCTTTAATTATGTTCTATGTTGCATACTGGTATGTTCCTCTTGATTCCTCAGTTAGATGTGAATTCTCTGAGGTCAAGAGCAACCTTGAATTTCTCCCCTACAGGGCTGAGCACTTGGACACTACTTAATATATTCTTCTAGATAAATTGGTGATAAACGGCTCTGCATAGTGGCCGTGTGGCAGGAGGGTCTGATAGGTCTGGGTGCAAATTCTGTCTCCAACACTCCCTTGGCACATTTTCTGAGCCTCAATTATTTTGCCTGTAAAATAGGAAGGACGACTGCCTTACAAAGTGACTGGGGGACCAAATGAAGTGATTTAGACTATAAATTATCTGCCACACTTCATGTAACAGTGCGATTCAAAAACTGGTAGCTATTATAACCTATTACACTAGGGACACTAAGGAGGTGGAGCTTTCTGGGGTCTGTGAGCCCCTCGAAATCATATGCAGACATGCATATGCATGAATACACAGGGACCTTCCCTTCCTCACCTTCTCTTTGTTTACAAAAGCGCACATGTGATAGTTCTCGGTGTAAAATGGGTAAACATCACAGATCATAACAGCTCACGTGTTAATGGCTTCCTACAGGCCGGGCAGCTCCGAGTGCTCCGAATGCATGACTTGTACCCCCCCATCTTCACGGGGCTCCCCCGTGAACTCCGTGAGGCGCCACTGTCGTTACCATCCCGGTGTCACGTCTTGCAGATGAGGAAACCGATTCACGGAGAGACTGAGTCACCAAAGGTCCCACAGCTGCTAAGGAGATAAGTTGGTTTCAACTCAAAGCCAGGCGGCATGACTCCAGGGCCCTTATCCACCAGTGTTAGTGCTTCTCAAGATGTGGTCCCTGGACCAGCAGCCGCAGCACCTGCGAATGTGTTAGAAACGCAGATTCTTGGGCCCCCCTCAGACCTGCAGAATCAGAGCTCTCCAGGTGATTCTGAGACGCCTTGAAGTTCGAGAATCCCTTACTGTGCACTTGTGCTCCCCCCCCACCTGCAATTCGTCCTTCTGGAGCCCAGAGGAGCGCCGGCCGCTTACTAGATGAATGAATGAGCGCTGTCACCCACTCATAACTCTCGTTCACAGTCCTTCTTCCTGTCCCTGAGGTCAGAAGCACCAGAAGGAAACCCCGCACCGTCAATGGAAGTGCCCTCCTTCATCCTCTTGGGGCACCTGCACTGGGTTCTCCTCGGACTGGACAGCTCGGCCATCAGATCCGCTCACCGGTCAAAACTGGTGCCAGAGAGGGGCTGGCTGGATGCTGAGATGCTCTTTGGTTCCCAGCCCAAATCTGGGCATCTCCAGCGACGGCACGGCCAACAGGTGGCAGCCCGGGCCCGGCCCTCCGCCCCAGCTGTCCCCGCCTTGGCAGCCGGCCCCTGCTCTGTGCCCCCTGTCGGATCCCGCTGGAAGCCGACTCAGCGGGCGAGGCAGCCCCGGGCAGGCAGCTGTGTGTTTGCTCACAAGAGAGCCAGGCACCGGTTTATCTGGAAGGCTCATGAAGGCAGGACAGGGGCAGCCACGAAAATGCCAGCATGTCTCAGCCCCCCGCCAGCCAGGGGGGCTTTTCCTTGGTGATTCTGATGTTTGTTAATGATGCCATGACAACCACGACTGAGCGCTTCCTGTGGGTCAGGCGTCCTGCATTACAGCAACCCTTCGGTGGAGACGCTTATGATCATCCCCGTGTCACACGTGAGGGAAATGGATCCAAGCTGTCAGAGCGGATGCGCAGTGAGGACAGGACTCAGACCCGGGTCTGTGGGACCCCACGCCTCTATGGTTAACCATGGCTCTTGAGGGAGGGAACCAGCATGGCGCACATGAACTTGGGCCTGAGCTGGCTAACAAGGGCTCTTCATGTGGCTATGACCCACTTCCCCAGCCTTCTGGGAGCATTTCTCAACCATTTATGGAGCAGGTCCTGTTTTTGTTTAGAATTATGACATCTTGTTTCCCATAAATATACAGTCCATGAGAACAAGGATTTTTTTTTTTTTTTTTGGATCCCTGCTGGATTTCCAGCCGCTAGAATAGTACCCAACACACAGTACACACGCAATAAATATCTGTTAAATGAATGAGTGGCCCTGACCTCCAGATCTTGACCTGTTAAAGCCACAGGAAGGATGTAGTTCTCTATTTGCATGATTTTTTAAAAACTCCATTACCACAGGGGCAGGGCTAGATCTAATCAAGATAAATGCTTTTGAATTGCAGGATGAGTAATGAGCTATGAGGCAAAGCTAAGTGTGTGGTGCGCCCGTTGACTCCCCAGAGCACATTCTAACACCTACTGAGGCTGTCGCTGCTGCAGACTCTGGACGCTGGTGGCATTACTTGGATCGATGATCTTGGAACATTCCTCCTCTGGCTTTTGCAGTCCCTGGAGACATGCTGACTTTTGGTGTTCTTGTCTTGGAAAGTGAATTCCGGGAGGTGGTAAGGCAGAGGGACCCAAAACTTAGGCTCTTCGTAGTGCTATGACTTTGAGACAGGCCATGCACCTTCTCCAAGTCCCATTCTCCTCCTCTGTAAAATGGGACTAATAACAGAACTTCCTTCCTATGATTATTTTTATCACCACCATCACCACCCCCATCCATCATTACCATCATGCTTTGAGTCTCCAGGGAGCTCCCCGTGTCCAGTCCTGGCCCATCAGGCCCCTGGTTTCACCAGGGATGGACAGAGAGGTTATGGGCGCTTCCAAAGGCAATGGAAGCAGAGGTCAGAGTGAGGTAGCCATGAGACGATGTGGCAACCTCTAGAAGCTAGAAAAGGCCAGGTATGGATCCTCCTCTAGAGCCCTGAGCAGAAATGCAGCCTGCCATCACCTTGATTTTAGCCTAGTAAGACCACTTCAGTGAGACTGAGACTCTGATCTCCAGAACTATAACTTAATAAGCCACTAAGCCCAACAGCATTAAGAAACTAATACAAGGGCCTCTAGTCTAGCTTTATCCTTCTCTGAAATCAGGACTCCAGCTTCTATTTTATTCCATAAAAATCAAAACACATTTTTATATTAATTAGTTCTAGCCTGGAGAAAATACAATTTTCCAATAATACACTCTAAGGCCTGTCCCATGGGTGTTTCTGGCCCTGCACTAGTCTGCGTACACCTGTTTGTGCTCTGATCTATCCACCACCTTCCCTCGCTCAGCTCCACACTGCAGAGAACTACATTTTCGAGAACCTCCTGGCAAATGGCTTCCAGCTAGTTTTGGCCAATGGGCAGCACTGACGGAAGGTACGAAGAGGGGAAAAGCCATAGCGGTTCACTTTCTCACTGTGCCTCGGGTGGCATCTCCATACTGGGATGGGAGGACAGTCAAAGGCCTGGGTTACGAGCTGAGTTTGCGGTACCGCCGTTAGCAGGGGACCGGGGGGACCGCGGTGGGGTCGTGAGCCATGGGGTGCAAACCAAGAAAGTCCCCCCAAACCTCTCCATCTACCCTGTCCCTAGAGCTGAGGAGACAGCACTTGTCCCGAGGGCCTCTCTCCTGGGGAGGGGGGGGTGCACAGACCATGCCCAGCACTGGGCCACCAACAGGCCGTCCCCCTCCCCGCAGACAGCTGAGTCTGGCAGGAGGGGCAGCGGCCGGCTCCATCGCCCTAACTGCCATGTGGTTTGCTTTCATCAAGGAAACAGCAGGGATTCCAAGTTAAATTCCAACGTGCAATTTATTCAAGATGTAAGGCCCATCGAGAGACTCTCTGCAGACTGTCCGGCCCTCCCGCTCGGAGGCAGACGTCCTGCTGCCCGGGCTGCCACAGCCCATCCTGGTCTCCTGGGACCGAGGCCTTCCGGAAGGGGGATTCTCCCTGGGCTGCTGGCCAGCTGCTTTCCCATGTTACAGATGGGGCTGCTGAGGCACAGAGAAGGATCTTGAACATGGAAACCGTCCTGGGAACACGGAGGCCAGCGGCGCCACAGGCTGGTCGGTCTTTGGGAATTGTGCATGACGAAGTACCTGTCTGGCACACCCTGAGGATGACAAATGAGCCAATTGTGAGCGGTAGTAAGGGCCGTGGGAATCTCACTTGGAAAACCCAATTAGTCCATCAGCATTCATTTGCCTGAAAGAGGCTTCTGAGCAGAGCTCAGGCTTCAGACCGATGGGCCACCCCCTTCTGGGCAGATCCACCTGCCAGGGCTTCCAGACCTGTGCCTAGCACCTACTGCCCCCGGAAGGTTTCATGAGTCACACAGACCCCAGAATGGAGATGACAAAGTCGATGGGATACCACAGAGGTGAGGAAGCCCCCAAAATGAGTAGGTACCTGGCGGGGACGGCTCGTGCGCACACGGGGCTGCACTCTGGCTCTTCCCTCGTTCAGTTCTGCGCTGACAGGCAGGTGGTGGGTGCCGGGCCCTGAGAGCCCCCCTCCGGGGCAGCAGCCTGTGACAGACATCAACAGTTTGCGGCCAGAGACTAATTCCTCCCAGGGAAGCTTTGCATTCAGATGAGAATTAGAGCAACATGCCCAAACACCCTTTGGGGTTCAGGGGTCCCTACTGTGCGGGGGTGGTGTAGGGACACCAGAGTGACGTGTGCTGAAACCCGGATTATGTGCGTTCTGGAAGGAAGACTTTGCAGCCAGCCAGCCCTGGCTGACAAAGCTGTGTTTCTCTGGGTTCCCGGGGTCAGCTCCTGAAGCAACACCGACTTCCTACCATTTAGCAGACAGCACCGCACCTTTGGGGAGTGGACTGATTTTGAGGGCAGTAAGGCAACAAACGATCTCTAGAGAAGCAACATCCAGTTCTGACTGAGAGCCCGGAGGTGGGAAGTGGACATTTCAATCCAGGCCTGCTGCCATCCTTTGAAGGAGGCAGGCAGTGACTATCACATACCAGTTTCCCCGGAGGAATGGGGAATGGAGAGGTGGGGACACTGCCACAAAATGACTGGAAGTCTAAAACTTAGTGGTTGCAACCTGGCCTTTGAACTCAAATCTGACATTGAGGCCTTTCTATGTTTAGGTCTTAGAACAAGCTCTTTTATGTCTCAGGCCCTCAGTTTCCCAATCTGGAAAGTGGGTGGAATAATAATATCCAACTCTCAGGCTTCATTCAGAGCAAAGATCAGCAAGTTTTCCCATTAAGGGCCAGATGGTGAATATTTTAAGGCTTTTGGGCCAAATGGACACTGTTGCAGCTACTCTACGCTGCCATTGTGCTTTGAAAGCAGCCATAGAAATAATAAAGACTAGTAAATGAATGGACATAGGTGTGTCCCAATAAAACTTTATTTACAAAAACAAATGGTGGGCCAGACTCGGCCTGTGAGTTACAGTGTGCCAACCCCTGATTAGGAGATTATATGAGCCAGTGCAAATGATAGCAAAAGTGCTTGGCACAAAATTGCTGACCAGTAAATGTTGCTATCATCATCATCATCGGCATTATTGCTCTGCATTTGGCCATTTGGATCATCAGGTGCTGCCTACTAATTATCTCTGTCTCCTCTCCCTGCCTTTACCAACTTCTTAAATCAATTTCCAAAAGGGTACTTAGGTGGATTAATTCAGACTCCTGGGTGCAAATGCATTCAGGACTTTGCCCTGAAGTGGTCTGCTTAATGCGGTTTCCCAAATCTCTTAGCAAGACGTTTCTCCAAAGAAGACATACAAACGGCCAACAGACACATGAAAAAATGTGCAACATCACTCGGCATCAGGGAAATACAAATCAAAGCCACAATGAGATACCACCTCACCCCAGTCAGAATGTCTAAAATTAACGAGTCAGGAAAAGACAGATGTTGGCAAGGATGCAGAGAAAGGGGAACCCTCCTACATTGTTGGTGGGAATGCAAGCTGGTGCAGCCACTCTGGAAAACAGT